TCTTAGCCAAGCACATTAACGATTGTCGAGCATTTTTCTGGGAAACACTTTTAGTTTTAATTAAAAGAAAATGCAGAAATAGTAAAATAAATCAGACGCTATCCACTTACGGAATTTTAATGTGCTGGCAATTTATTGGATTTAGAAGGACTTGTAATAAGTTCAAGAATGGTTCATTGAACCATGAAATCAATGGTAATTAGTTTAAACTCCAAGTTTATCTGCAGTCTTTATGTATTTTAATTCCATCAACGGAATATTTATTGAAGGCGAATTTGCGTAAAATAGTGTTTATAATAAAGCAAAGTTCATTTTGTAGTTTATAATGAATACACAATAACTTTAAGTATGCAAAACAAATTTCAAATACCTTTCTCATAATAATGGCTTTCATTTTATAGAACATTGACTTCTTATTTATTTATTTTAAGTTAATATTGTGTTTTTTAAAAGTTGTCAGGTTGTTAAGAAGTTCTCACCCAAAGGTGGAAAAACAAAGGTTATTTAATTTTGAGATTATTTCAGCTCACAAGGTATTTTTGCAGGTTTTATTTTTATTCTTTTACAAAAATTTTGACTTTTTGAATTTTCTGTAAAAAAGACTTCTACTTTTTAATATTAAGTAACGTTTTAAAAAACAATTAGATTTTATACATAGAGAACTTAGTTTTTAGGATACTGGGTATGATTTTCTGTGATCAGATGAGGATTTTCATTGTTCCAATAACGGCAATTTTTTTGTTAATTACCATTTAGATAAAAAGTACATTTATCGCTGAAGGAAATGCAGCAAGAATAGCAGTTTTTTGTTGTGTTTAATAATGCTAATATATTTTAAATTATATAGTTATTTTCTGCAAATAATTTAAAAAGCGAAAAATTTTAAAAAGTGTTTGTATTATTGTTGAACAATTTGTTTATTTATGTTTTTTTTTTTGTTTATTATACTTTTGTTGGAATTATTTTTGGTTCTACAGTTTTTTACTAGTGGTTTTACGACAACAAAATGGTTTAATTTGATATTTATAACGAGAAATTGGAATAAATATTTATAAAAATCATTTGTGTATTTCCTAAAAAAATTAATAAAGGATTTTGTTAAGTACTGTTAAATGGCAATTTTTAGAAGGTTTCCAATAAGGTATCACTAAAAAGGTTTTGACTTTAAAAAAAATTGAGATGAGGTCATTTGGGGTCATTCTGTTTTCCCCATGGAAATAGTTTTGAGAAATTTTTGATTTCTTCTTTAGGGCCAGACTTATAGAGCATTGCTCGTTTTTTAAATAGATTAACCCAAATGGCGAGCACAAAAAAGTTAAAACGGTTTTTGAATCTTAAGCGTTAAGAATTTCGAGAACTTGGAAAAAATTTCATATTCCTTGTGTAGAACAGGGTAAAATTGGCATTTGTTTATTAACGATTTTTATTGCTAATTTGATCCATTTCTCAACACTCTCTGACATTTTCATCAATTTTTTATAAAAACTTATTATTGATGAACAAATTAATTTTTCAAAAAATTTAAGGCTGAATGGCCTTTTATTATAAATGTTAATGTATATTTTGTTTGTGTTTTTTGTGTGTTCAGTGGATTAAGAAAGGTTTAATTAATTGTTTTATTTTGTTTTTGAATCAAAACACCATTAAAACTTTTAATATTGATTTATTTATTTTGGCCCAGACGGTTTCCATCTATCAATATTGTTGTTGGTATTTCAAACCAGTAAAATCCTAAAATCTCGAAAATCTCATATGATAAAAGCCTTGAGAATGATTCATTTTGTAGCGTTGATTTTTTTAATTTTCAAGTTGGTTGCTCGATTATTTTAACTACGTTTTTCGTTTACATTGATTATTACGTCAACTGTATTTATCACTTAGATTGAAGTGTTTAAATGGAAAAACTAAAAATAGAGAATTTAATTAAAAAATCTATTTATTATTTTATAGAGCTGGCAATATTTTCACTATCAATCATTTATTATACTTCTTACCAGCAAAAGTATAATGTATCATCAGCAGTAGGAAAGCTATTAAATATAATATTTAAGGTCAAAGAAAATAAATTTATTGGTAGAATTTTAAATTTAAACAAATAAAAGGAAAGTAAACATCGGTATTTCACTCCATCGTTCAAGTTTTGTTCAAGGATGTCACTGAATAATTTTTCTATAAATTCGTTTTTTGACGCAAACACCGTATTTCTTAAAATAAAATAAAACCCACTTTTCGTTATTCCTGCGGATTATTTTAAATGCTTTCACTTCGCTAATTTTAAAACAAACATTGTTAACAAGTGTAAATATTAAGTATTTTTAGTAAAGGTAGGGTATACCAACATTCTAAATCAAAGTTTAGTCTTGTTTGAATGCCTTTCACTGCTGCCAATAGTAATTAATTAATAATGACTACTTCCCGTTTTATTAAAAGGCCCTCATAATTAGAAATCATTTTAATCAAAGTTATGAATAAATTAAACGTTAAAAACCAAGAATACTTAATTAATTTTTAAATTTTAACTATATTTTAATTCGTCGGGTAAAGCCAATTTTATTTTTAGTTTCATAAAATATTAAGAATTTATTTTTATATTCTATGCGAAATTAACCTATCAAATAGGTTTGCATCTGCGATTTTGCTGAAATTAGGATATTGTACGTATTCCCCGACTTTTTTGGCCCACAGATTTTGAGCATTTTTTTCAATTGTCCATAACTTTTTACAAAATTAATTTATTTGTACAATTTTCTTAAAATTATTCGTGTTTTAGTGTAGTTTTAAAAAAAATCTGTTTTGATAAGTTTTAATGGGTCATCAAAAAAAACTTGACTTAATTTGAAAGTTTTTAAGTTTACCATCATGGGACAATTTTTTTTAATTTTTGCCTAGCAACTTTCCGAATATAGAAATATTCAACAAAATATAATTACAAACGATTAAAAAATTGTCTGCAACCTCGATAAACTTAAGACAAACCGGTGATGGAAACTCAAAAATTGCATTGTGTGATTCAAAATATAAATAAATCACTAAGAGTAATTTTTTTAAAATTTTGTTAAAAAAAATTACATAAATTCTTTAAACGACAGAAAAAGTAAATATAATTTTTATAATGAAAATTTATTTAAAAAATAATAGGTACTTATAATATTTATTATTAATAATATAATAATTATTATTAAAGATCATTGTCTTTAATTATAATTATGCATTAAAATATTTTTAAAATGATACTGCCAGTGATATTGAGTCTTCAAAAAATTAAAAAAAAACTACAATAAACATTTTGCCCACGAAGTAAAACTTGAAAATTAAGTTTTTTAAACATTAAAAAAAATAATCTAAGACCCACAAACGCGACTTAAACATTTATAAAAACATACAGAAAAATAAGCAAATAATTTTTTCGAACATAAAAACACGAATATTTTGAAAAAAAATGTCCAAACCCATAGTTTTTTAAAGGGTAAAAAAAATCTAAAAAAGTATCTTTATCCAATTTTAACAAAGTAGCAGATGAAAACTTATTTGATAGATTAATTTGGCATGAAAAATAAGTAAAATAATAATTTATCATATAAAATAATTATTGTGTATAAACACGTTAACTTGCAAAAGATAATTTAATTCAAATTCGTATAAATGTAATAAATAAGTGTTATAAATTAAATTGCATAAATATTTCACATTTTGGACTTGAGTCACCAGATGCAGTGGATATATGAATGGATCTTGGTCAATAATAAAACTAGTTCTGCATTAATAGCTTTAATTGTAGGATCAAAACATTAATTGTTAAAATTAAAAACCAGTTTGTTAGTCTTAAAGTTAATTTTTTATTATTGTTAGAATATTTTAAAATATATCCATTCTAAGTTAATTATAATCCTGCAGATGTAACGGTAGATCATCTTTATTTATCGTCTAAAATAAATTAACGCTTGATTAGCAGTTTATTTGCTTATTAGTTTCCTGCGATAAATATCGTATTGCAGGTTTACAGGGTTAAGAAACTAATTTTCTTTTTTTGCGTGAGCTAATATAAATGATTTTCAATTAAATAATTAAAAAAGAGAACGCTTCAAACGTAGAGTTGTTTATTTATTTGTAAGTGCTTTCTCGGAATCGTTAATTTGTTGTATATACAGTTTTAATCATTGTTTGATAATTGTTTGATAATAGTTTAATATGAATAGTTTAATATGCAGAAAAAAATTGTATTTGAAGTTTTGAGAGTTGTTTTGCAAACGTGCCAAAATTCATTTTATTTCTACGCGTGGTAATAAAAATCAATTGACAAAATAATTTACAGCAGTTACATACATATATGTACGAGTATATATAGGTACCACATTAACATTTAAATTTTTAATTTATTATTTTTAAAGAGGAAGATACGCTTAAAAAAACGTGGTTTTAGGTAAATTTCTTTATTTCCTGAAATTCAAGATTTAGCAATTTTTGCATACAAGAAATAGGTAATAGTTTTTTTGCAATATCTTCAAAACAAGACCCAAGCGAATAAAACGGAATCAGCAGGCGCAGGCCTGTGCGTACGGGGGGTTTGAGTGTTTAACCCCTTATATATATATATTTTTTGTATACAAAAAATTAGCTAAAAATGTATATTTTAGTCATGAAATTTATTAAAACCTTCCCCAGGAGCAAATCCTGAGCACGGCCCTGAGCGGGCCCAAAATACCCTAGAAAACTCTGAGCCAAATAAGAATAATAAATAATATTAAATGGCCGTTTTAAAACTAAATAACGTTTATGTTAAAATATATTTTAATTTTCGAACTCCCAATTTGTAAGTGTTTTGTAATTACTTTACAAATTAAATAACTTTTAAATTAAATAAAAATTATTTTATATATTTATGTAAACATTATTTTTTTATTGGTTTTTTTAGTTAATCAAAAGATTTGTGATTTAAAAAAAAATTGCTTGTTTAAAACAACTTTAAAATTCGCTTCATTGTAATAGAAATAAAGACTCACCTATCGTCTTAATAATGTTAAAATCTTCAATATCCATTTCGTCTTTATCTTCATCAGAATACTCTTCGGTTGTTGGGGTTGAAGAATCCAAGCTGTCGGTGCTTTCCTGCCTGGTACGAATCGCGTAGTCCGCCATTATTAATCAAATAAAATAAAAACTATTCGAATTTCAATGCAGTATCGGACGTCCGTAGTTTTCAAAAATACAATTCACTTTGCTAGAACCGTTTCTCTTTTACCCGGCACAGTTATCATGCGACTGGTGAGGATTGTTTAAAGATCGCGCGCGACATGGCTAGTCTACTGCCGTGTTGCCAAGTTTTAAAAAAGTACCGAACTTAAGGATTTATTTTACGCAAAAACTAGGTCGAAAGGCATACACAATATAAAATATTTCAGTGTAAAGTTACCAAATGGATTGGTAAAACCATTTGGTGTTAAGATATACACCAAAATTGGTCAAAATTATTAAGTGTTTATTTTAAATTGTGGTAAAATTCATTCATGTTAATTTAAATTCATTTATCACAGCACCATGTCAATCTAGTGTTAATTTAAAGATAAACTCGGCGCGGTTTACATTTGACACTATTATGTGTTGACAGCTACACAAATTGTGGTAAACAAAAGTCACGTAGTCATCACCATTCGCTAACGGCAAGGGCGCGATCAGTATTCCGAGTGCAGTTGATGGTAGTGTACCTATGCATGCTATTTTAATTTAAGACCATGGTTTTTAAATTAAAATTCAGTGGTCTGGTGAAGTGGTGCAATGTGACAGTGGATGCAACATGTTTGTGATAAAACATGTTTTTTACCTGTTATTTTTAAGTGAAATATAAAATTTAGTAATATTTTAAGTTTTTTGAGTTAGTGAAAAATCATATTTAACTTATATACCTAAATATAAGCTAAATATGGTTTTAAACAAACTGGAAAAAACTTAAAATATCACTACTTTTCATTCAATTAAAAAAAAATTAACACTTCTTGGGTATAAGAATACTTACACCTAAGTAGTGTTAATCATATTTTTTTAATTTTATGCCAAAGCCTATTTGTATTCCTATCCAAAAGTTTGTAAATAATATAAAATATACTTTATTTTACATTACATGCTGTGTTTAATATTAAAACCCCCACCATTTTTTACACCTACACGTAACACCTACCTGTGTAGTAAATTACACTAAATTGAGCATTTTATACTCCTGAATTGAGTTATTTTACCAATGGGGCGGGTTGATTTTACCCCTAAGAGTGTATTATATTTGATAATTTTTACACTGTTACGAGTTTTTTGTACGAATAGTACTTGTAGATTATTAACCAATTAAAAAGGGTAAAATTTACCAAATTGTATGTGGTTAGATATACCATTTCTAGTGTGGACCTATATAGACCACTATTGGTGTTGTTTTTTAACAGAAATTTTATACTGCGTAGCGTTTTAAAGCGTCGAAAAAAAGAAAAAATCGTTTTTTCCTGTTTATTGCATCTGCTCATGGAGGAGTCTTTCAGGACGAAACATTATTTGTTTAAGTAATTCTTAGTTAATGTTTATTTTTTTTGGTCCAATATATAAAATTTTAATAAAAATTACATATTACTATCATTAGAAAAACAAATCCACAATATAATACTTTAACAGCAAAAGTATTTTTGTGCCATGGCAAAATTAAGAGCCATAGTTTTTATGAGTAAATTAAAAAAAATTAACTGAACAATAATAAAATAAAATATAATGATTATGGTTAATTTTGACAAAAAATTCATAAATAATAAGTAACTATCAGTAACTACTGATCCTTATCAATAAATGGAAATATCAATAAGTATAAATAGGTATTTTAACTTACAATGTTAAAATTTGACGTTACTGATACTTATTTACACTTGATATTGAATTGATATTCCCCTTTATTGATAACTATCAGTAGTTACTATTTTTGTAATTTATACAGTATACTGTGTTTTGGTTTGTCAAATCGAGTTTGATAGGTGTGCTAAAGCATACTACTACTAATTACTTTTGAACTTCGCGCTTCGAAACGGTGGTGGAGAAAATTATTGATATTAACTGTTATTTATCAGTAATTAATTTAAAATTATTCAATCTTATTAGTAGCTTTTTTTTAATGGTTCCCATTACAAATGTATGACAGTATTTAATAGAATGATATTTCTTCTGGGCTTTCAGCGTATTTCTTTATTAAAAAAAACGTTTTATTTAAGTAATTTACTTGTTTGGTCTTCTAAGTAATCTAAAACTAACTTTCTATTGTAATAGCTGAAAAAAAAAAACAAAAGATATTTGTGGCGCCTACTAGCACTTGATTTCAGATTTATTTAAAATACAGAACGGTAAGCTATTAAAAACTTATACACAGATTGTAAGAATGCGTGACATTTTTTAAAACCTTAGTAATATCCATATTAAAAATATGCAGCGGTTACTTTAGTGGCATACAATACAGTACAATAATAATAAAAAATACCAATATTCGTTCCACACATAAAGTAAGACAGTATTTAATACAATGATAGTCAAAAAGTAAAAATAAATTTGTAAAGAACATTGTAAGCGCAATTAACCAACACAAAGTAAGTTATTATAAGTCTTAAACTTTGACTGGTTACCTGATAATAATTCAACAGATTTCAAGGTGATTTAAACTTGTTTTATTTTCTACAGATATTAAAGAATTCAAAAATTTCCTAAATTTTGTCAAAATAAAAACTTACGTAATTTGAATTTCCGCGCTGGAAGCGCTCTCTAGCCTACTGTCCGACAGTGGTATAATACTAGTAACAACATGTTTTAAAATCAAAAAAATGTATTATTATTTAACAATGACAGTGTGGTGCGATAGCGAAATTTTGTTGTTTTCTTGTTGTTTTAATACGCTTTATTCAATCAGTGTCACTAGATTGGCAAGATAAATTTGGAAAAGTGACAAGAATAAAAATGAATTACTCAACAATCTGATTTAAGATCTACTGTTTTTTTGGCTAAAGTTTTTAAATTTAATTTGTTAACTAAATATTAAATTACATCTACTTAATTTATCATATTTGGGTATTAGGAAAAATATATTTGATTTGTTTCAAGTTTAAAAAAAATATATTTTATGAAAATTTTTTCTTATTCTTATTTTTTAAAACCTGTATAAACTATTGAATTTTTAAGACCGCCAATAAGTGCGCAGTATTTTGGATTGAGAATTCAAAAAAATTGGTAAATAAAAATTTGTTTTAAAATTTTGGGACAACCTAATTTGCAAAATTAAAAATTAATTAACGATACATGGTAAAGAAAAATACGTTTTGAAATTTTAAGAGAAATTCACCTTTACCCTTTGAGCCGCCAACTTTGGGACATTGTATTTTTTTTTAAAACATATTAGTATCAATACAGGGGTCCTAAAAATGCTATATTTTTATATTTTATTAATAAAACAATCAAATTTTAAAATTGGTTTAATTAGAGTCCGATATGTTTTGGTTTTGATCTTTTTTGGAAGTACGTTTAAGTTTCATAAAATTATTATAATTGGTTTTCTTTATTTCTTTGGTATGTACATTGGTAATTTACTTAAAATTAATATTAACGTTATTTTACAGAAATCAAATGATACATTTTGATTACATATTATCACAGTTTATAACTGATATTAAAAATAATAGCAATGCATTGTGGTATATTTTAATATTAACGGATATTGTCAAACTCATTTTACCTAATGGATAGTTTCCTATTTATGATACCTATAAAATTATATTTGTGCCAAATAACATAGTTAATAATTTAATTTTAAAACACATAATTTAACATTTATAAAATTTATAACTTAATAATATTAATAATATTATGTAGATATAAAAGCTAGTATGTTTTTTAAGTTTCACGTGATTTTTTGACAATTGTTTCGTCACACAGTGACATCCAGCGGCGTAACTAGAAAAAGTGCCGCCCGGGGCAGCAGTGGCTGTCGCCCTCATGTTTTTTTTTGGGGGGGGGAAGAGAGGTTAGGTTAGGAGTCAGTTTTGAGGACCGTACGCAAAATTAAAAATATATAATTATATATAAACATATATATATATATATATATATATAACATTAAATTGTAATATTTTAAGAATTAAAAACAAACAAAAATTCTTAGACCTAGGTAAAGAAAAACAACTATTTTTTGCTAGCTTTATTTGATTTGGAATATTTTGGGAGTAATTGTATAAATCTCAAATCTATTGGAATTTGAATTATATTATTTTGAAAGAGAATATTTAATTATCAAATATTTTTTTTATTTTTATATTCTGTCTTCCAGTTTTTTTCGCATTTTCTCTCAGGATTTTTGCCGCCCCAAGAAGTGCCGCCCGGGGCGGAACGCCCCCCCCCCCGCCCCCCCCCCTAGTTACGCTACTGGTGACATCTTCAGAATTCTGAAGAAATTCTGAAGAAGTCACTATGTGACGAAACAATTGTCAAAAATAAATCAATCACGTGAAACTTAAAAAACATACTAGTTTTTATATTAACATAATAATAATAATAATATGGAGTTTCATCAAGTAAAGGTTGAAACAATCAAATATTAACCTATTGTGTATTAAATTTTTAATAAAGTTAATACTTAAACGTTAATATTTTTTTGTTAAAATTATAAATCAAATCCTCATTTACGAATAATTAAATTTTGATCTTCCCAGGACGTAGAAGATTTTAAGAACTAAAACCTAGGTAGCTTAGCACAAAGTATTCCTTAAATGATTGATTGCTAGCAAAAATGGCGAATTCGCCGGGGTTAATTGGTAAAATGAACAAATATTTATTTAATTAGTAAATTTTGTTTGTTTTTTATACAGATGTATTCATTAAAAAAGCGTACAAGAATTAGAATGAGAGAAAACTGTCAACATTATTGCGTAAAACCGGCTTTCCAGTGACTTAAGTCACTATAACTGACAGTAGAAAATAAAAATGCCTCGTCAGTTAAAAAGACTCAAATAGTATCAAGAATCGAAGAAGAATGGTCAATTCGTACTGTGGTATAATAGAAATAAAAATTCTATATTAAAAATTAAGCAACGCTGGGAACAGGAAGATTTACTAAACTAAAAAGTTGGTTCAGGTCGTCCCAAAATGTCCACCCCTGAACAGGATGCTGCTTTTTCTGAGGATTTATGGGAAACTATACAACTATACTATACCTACTATACTGCTGGGAAGATATTAATCCAAATATTGTATTAAATTTAATTCAGTTCATCCCAAATAGATTGGCTCAAGTAATAGAAAAACAGGGATGCATAACTAAATATTAAATATTTTTTAATGTTTGTTTTTTTCATTTCTGAAAGGTAATAATTCTCTTTATAACCTATAGTAATTATTTTAATGACTTATGTCAGTGATAAGCCGGTTTTAAGCAATAATATTATTTTGACAGTTTTCTCTCATTCTAATTCTTGTACGCTTTTTTATTGAATACAACTGTACATACCTAATATAAAACTTTTTTCTAACAAAAAATTGCTCGTAGGGGCAGATGTCTGGAATTAATAATAATACAGGTTTATTATCTTTTACTTTAATAAGTAACAGCTGTTACATTGTACATGTGACAACGCTGCAATAATATTATCTCGACCTCTTAAATATTCCCACGCGCTTTCTTGTGATGTACGCATGCTTCACACGTTTATCTTAAAAATTAATTGTGGCGATAATAAAGGTTTACTATTTGTACAAATTTATTAACTTTTGTTCTTTTGAAATACTAAAGCTTATCAGGACTATTAAGGACACGATTTAATTTGACGTCATTTTTTTAATTTGTTACATAGTGTTTTAATGCTTAAAACATTTCTATGTAATAGTTTTTAATTATATTTAATATACAGGGTGTCTCGTTGTTTATATTAGAAAGATTAACAATTTATAATTATAAGTTAGTTAATTAATATTGTTGTTTAATTTTATTGTAAATATTATTTACCCAAGTCATAGTACTGTGGTTCATTGTTCAATTTGTTATTAAACAAAAATAAAAACATTTTTTTTAAACTTGCATTAGGTATTTTAAAAATACCTTTATTCGTGATTGAATATAGGCAATCCCATCTCACAAGGCATTTACAGCAAGTTTGAACACATAAAACAAAAACTACTAGTCCTAGGACTTTTTTTATGTTTTTTATACTTAAAATTAAGAAGAAGAAACAAACATGTGTGCAAAAAAAAAATTAAATTTGCGCTTTCGGTTACTGAATTATGTCTTAAAAACTTTTCAAAAGACTTTGTCACTCTTTTTCTAAATGAATTTCGTACACTTAAAATTATTTAGAAGGGCAGCATTATCGAAGTTTGACAAAAAATTGTTAATTACAATTTATTTATTTATTTAATTTTATTTTTTTCGAAAAGTACGGTTAACATACTACAGGAAACAACTGCATTGTTTTTAGAGAATTAATTATAGCTATCAGACTTAAAATTTAATGAAAATAGTCATGAGAAAAAACGAGCGCAACTTTTAGCTCCTTCTAATTTTTACCCCCTTTTAAATGGTTAATGTACCCCATAAAACCCCATCACGTTTAATCGAAATCGGACATAGGATTTTTAGGCGGGTACACTTGACGGGTTTTGCCCCAACATCATTTTCTTGTTGTTTATTATAGGCAACCCATATAACACTTAACCAGAGGCCGAGCAAACCTAGATGTATACGTTTTATCATAGATCATAGATTACACAGTGCAACGTTAAAGCAAATGCGGTTCGGATGGGTCGACAGATTTTTTTATAAATATTTTTTATTTATATGTAGGTTCAGAATAATTCAGAATAATTCAATCAGGAGAATCCCGAGCTCTGATTAGAAAGTAACACTTTACTTAATTTAAAAAAAAACACTAATTATTGAAAGTGGTGCCAACATAATCTTTCGATATTAAAATTGATTGATATGATTCTTTTAAAGTATATCATATTTTTGCACCTAGGTGTTAAAAATCACCCATAAAGACCAATAGAAAAGCTATTCGGATTTTCCAGCGGTAGCTCTATTGGTTTGAATTGGTCTCAATAGTGGTATATGTACCATGAATCACCAATTCAAACCAATAGCGACACCGCTGGAAAATCCCAGTATAGAGACTAATCGAATTTCCGTATAGAGAATGATAGAGGTGAATTAAATGTTAATGGTAATTCCCAATAGAAGAGCTATTTGGATTTTCCAGAGGTACCGCTATTGGTTTGAATTGGTCCCCACTATCCATTTTAGACGTCTTTAAGGTAAAAAATTATGTGTTTTGATGGTTAAATAATTACTCAAAAATAGTGCTGTTTAACATTTAATTTAAATTTTATAACTAGCTTCTGCTAAAAGTAAGTAGTGGGGCCCACTGCTTACTTTTCGCAGAGTGGGCCAAAGGACGACCTGTGCCCCTTTAAAAATTCCAAAACGCCAAGCGTTTCCATGGCCAGTAATTTTGCCTTAGTAAGAAATCCTTACTTAGCAGCTCAACTTGAGCTGCTCAAGGCATTCCACCTTTATAGGCCTATGTATTGTGCTACAGAGGCGAGAGGTATGCATGGGTTTCCTACCTATTGGCGAATTTTGAAAATCCCAATAACAAATTCAAAGTGGTATATACCAATATTGGAACCCTATATAGGGTTGCTTGTACCTATACACCGATAAAATACCAATTTAGACCATTAGTTTATCTATTGGTATTTTCCAGTAAGAAAATTGCCAATAGAAACAAGTGGTCATTTGTATTAAATTGCGCAGGCGCTGAACATTTAAGTGGTATTTACCAATTGAATTTCAATTGGTAATTTCCTGTACTTGTAACTTCTTATAAAAACCAATTCAGACCATTAGGTAATCTATTGGCATTTTCAAGTACGGAAATTACCAATAGAAACCAATGCTCATTCTGTTGAGAAACCAATAGGCCCAATAAAGACCAATTCATTCCATTCTTATTTTTTATTGGTTTCTATTGGTCTCTATGGCTGATTTTTAACAGTTGTAGTATAAATAATAAAATAACTGTTTTTGAATAAATTTTATTACACACCTGAACTACAATGTAAATTACATATCTATATTCTTAAAATACCTTGTCATAGCTTTATAAACAATAATCATCACAGATTATAACAAGCTATGAAATTAAAAACATTATCGTGTCAAATATTTAAAGTTGCAACAATATTATAATAATTGTACATAAAATTAACGTTTTATCCATTCACTCGCAATAAAACAATTAAATTCAACAGCTAAATACAAACTAATAAGTTACTGTGAATGGTAACTTAAACTTAAGATTCTATAACGAGTAACACAATACTGTCTTTTTTATTTAATAAAATAGATTTAGAATTAACAACGCTTTTATAAACCTTATGTGTAATTTAATTTTTTTAATTCAGAATCTTTACATAACATGGTTTCTGAGAGAAAAACAAAAACTATTTTCTGTAAATCATAAAAGGTGTTGTAGATTTTATGATTGTCGTAGGTAATAAAATCATTTTTCTCACCAGAGTAACGAAAACCTAATAGGTACACTAACAATTAGGAATATACATTTATTGTTGTTTCTTATATTATGAAAATATTTTTCGTTTTATTTTAAATCTTCCGAAATCTAGCTTCCATAATGGAAGCGCAAGCTACAGGGTCCTCCATGACTCACCTTGTGATTTTAAATGAATATATAAGACAAAGTGCAGCTTTCACACAAAAAATCATAAAATCACGAAAATGTGTAAATTAAGAGTTACAACGTCTTTGAAGGATTTTGAAACAAAGCTGGGATATTTTTTTCTGTTCAGCTGAAGATTTTTTTTGCGTAACGGCCAATTTTCTGTTTTTTTTTAATTGAAAATAACGCTTGGTTTTGTTAAATAAACAATTCTTACTTTTTCTTGGACAATCAAATATTGCGCAAATTTTAGGCTATATAAAAGGCGTTTGACTCATTCATTGAAAGGATATGTTTGAAAAGGTCAAGAAGCAAATTTAACGAAAACCTCATTTACGTCATCTATGTCGAACTTCAACGTCGAAAATCAATACTTACAACCGTATATGAGATAACCCCGATTTCTCCCCCAATGTTATAGGAAATTTTATAACGAACATTTTAATATGTTTAGATTCGAAAAATTGTTAAATCTTTACGTTTATTTTCGCATTTACAACAAAAATTGCAAAATGGTCAAAAATCATAATTTTGTTCCTAAATTCGATTTCATTGACTTTTTACGTATCATTTATACGTTTTAAGTTGTTCCAACTCGTGTTATTAATTAATTGATGTATCTTTTTTATTCAGCAACTCCTAGAATGGTTTTCTAGCAAAAATATCGTTTTTGACAATTTTGCAATTTTGTAAATGCGAAATTGAACGTGAAGATTAAAGAATTTTTTGAGTCTAAATATATCAAAAGGTTCGTTAATGAATTTCCTACAACTTTGGGCTTATCTTGTACAGTTGTATTTATTTTCGACGTTAAAGTTCGACATAGGTGACAAAAATAAGATTCTTGTTAGATTTGCTTCTTGACCTTTTCGACCATATGCTTTAAATAAATGAGTCAAACTATTCTTTAAAAAAATGAAGTGTTAATAATTCAGTTTGAATGATTTTTAAATTTCATAAAAAAACTGAAAATTGGCTACTAAACAAAAAAATGTTATTTGCGATACTTTTCTGTAGGTACTGTAGCAGTTTGTTGACTCAAAACAGTCGATATATTCTCAAAACATAAATTTTTGAACTACAAAAGTGATTTTATGTTAAAATCATTTTTATACGCCGTTTTGTGCTTTAAACTTCATTTTTGCCATAAAACTTTCATAACAAATGAAAAAGCCCAAAAAGTCCCATTAAGAATTTTAGGTAATTTGTTGTCCTAAAACTCGGCGTTCTCTGTATAGAGAACGCCGTGCCTAAAATCGTTTTTATCACGACTCTATTCATAATAAACTTTTGTCGTTCAAAAATGCATTTTTGTGAAAATATCGACCATTTTACAAATTCCCAATTCCCACTATCCTAAACCCACTAAAATCCTTTAAAATCCAAAAGTAAATTATGGAGGACTCTATTTAAATAAAGGGTTAAAGAATTAAAAAAAAAATACAAAAGCTAAAGTTATAGTTTAAGCTCTTTTTGGATTGTATAATTTCATTTAAAATTTATATGTATATATAATTTAAGTTCATTTTAAGATATGATTTTAAAGTTAGACGCTATTTGAAGCTTTTAATAGATGAGGAACATAATTTGTAACATAATTATTAATAAAAGAATAATTTTGATTACAAGTTTTGCAAAAGCGATAGATTATTCACAATATATTTTTGACTGGTACACACTTATATTAAGTAGAATAGGTCCCTATATTTGTCTTAACATCACGATTAATAACCGATTAAAGCAATTACAGTAAATATAAAAATCTATTCATTTTGTTTACTTTTAGAGAAATCCAATGCATTATACAAAAATATTTCTGTATAAAATTTTCCCGAAAATGGTACTTCCTAAAATCCTGTAATTGTTTAATTCACTACATAACATTATATAAACACATAGCGTTATAAAAATCCTTTGAGATATGCACATTCTTTGGTAGTATACTGGCCCCCCTCAAAGTATTTTTACAACACTCTTTATAAGAATAGAAAGCACTGACGTTTTTTTATAATAAAGAACACTTATACATTATGGAATTATACTAAGAATCCCATGAAGTTGGAATGAAACACAACAACAACAGAAAATCACACCATAAAAAATCAATAAACGTCTATCACAAATATACTAAGAAATACTTACTACCAAAAAAATGAACAAAATCACAACATTTTCCACATCAAAAATTTGACGAAAAACAGTATATTGGAAAATATTATTATGTCTTTTAATAAATAGAACAAACAGGCCTAAAACTAGCTATCCTGTCTTAAAATACTGAAACTAAACATGGGACAAATTCACAATACGATTCAATCCTTTTCTACAAAAAAATAACAATCCAGATCAGTGCTTTACTACTCGAAAACTAAAAAAACATTTATGTACTTAAAACATTAGTTTTGTAGGTCAGCTTTCAAAAAAAATTTTTAAAAGCAGTCAATAAAATCGTCTTTTTCTCATGAAATAAAACCTGACCGAACAATAAACAAAACATCAAGCAAGGGTCCGATTATTTTTCAAGCTGATATGAAAACTTGGATATTTTGTCGTTTTTGATCTGCAAATAACGTCACAACACACATCAAGGCACAGTTTGTATTCCAGTACTGTTTTTTATTCTCATGAACCAGACTGTAAATATATTTCACTTCCACAATTTATTATATTTTTTTGACATATAAAACAGTTGATTTTATTTATTGACTTCTTCAAACTTAATAGATTCTAAGCACTGAAATACCTTTATGAATGAATGTTATCGCAAAATTACGAACTCTTAACATTACCAGATTTATATATACATTCTAAAGCAAATTATAATACTACCATCATAATAATCAAAAAGCATTATCTTACACTCCAAAAGAAAAACTAACGCTTAAAATTTGTTGGACCCTGCCTTTTACTCTTAGAGCATATTTTTTCTTGTTTTTAACCCTAAATATAAAACTCTAACAGCATGGAAAGACAGAATGGATTAGAGACGCCTTATGTTCAGGTTTCACGATAAGGTAGGTATATATTCTTTATTTATAAATGTTCTATGAAAGATGTGTATGTTTTTTCTTTAAATACGTTTTTTTATTATTCGAATATGTCGATGTCTATCCAATCCACGCGTGCCCAATCAGGAAGCTCAGTTTCAAATTCCCAACCAGGACCCTAAAATGAAATCCTTTTTTTTATATAGATAAAGAATTACTGATATTTATTTATAAACCTCTTCAAATGGAGATACTACCTTAAAAACATGGTACAAGAAAACAAGGTATGTTCTTGCGCATCTGTTTACACCACTCTAATTGGTGAAGAGGTGGGAGCACCCAGTTGCCGCCATATTTCCTATTTACATTTTGATGTAAGTTGTTTTTTAAGGTATTTTAAAGTTTTGTAAGTGTAAAAAATGTCTACCTGCCGAGTAAAAATCTGTGAAAACAATGCTAAAAGAAAAAAACCTGTAAATCCAATACATTTTCTTGAAAAGGCAGTAGCATCAGTAATTTTTATAGAGGTACTTTTCTTTTGTATACACTTAATAATTATTATCTGTGACATATATATAAAAAAAGAATTTAGGTTAATGTTTTGGGTAAATAATATTTGTTTTGTTTTGTAGCTTGTATTTGTTCCATTTACTTCGAAGATAGTTGCTATAAGAAGAAAAATTGGATCTAAAAGACTACAAACACATTCTAATAAAAAAGTCTTTAAAAGTGGATACGTAACAGCTGATCTTTCAAAAAAGAAATCAAGTACTTTGTAAGAAATTAAAACAAAATTGGAAAACACAGTTTAAATCATAGTTCTTTTTACAGTGTACAAGAAATAGGACAAAACTAGGAAGCATAATATGATCTTTGAAGACAGCCCGTAACAGAAACAAACTGTAAGATATCAAGTAAAGTACTGCAGTGTAAGAAATTAAAATAAAATTTGAAAAACCAAATTAATCAAAATTAAATGTTTCTTTTTGCATCGTGCAGGAAATGTGCCGATACAAGGAAGCTTATGATCTTCAAGGAAAGTCCATAATAGAAACTCAAACTGCAGCATGCTACTGATAACGCCAAAGGTAAATTTTCAACTTTTGAAATATTACAGCTAAACGCTCGGACACGTAAACATAATTTTTAGTCGTAGATTAAAAATCCGTGCTCGGTTTTCCTATTGGCATTCCGATCCGGGAAAACACTGTATACTGGTATATTAAAATTTGTGAAATAATATCTCACCACATTTCTATACTTTTTATTTTGTTTATTATAATAAAATATAAAATCCTCAATTTTACTCAATAAAAATAAAATTAAACAAAAAAAAAACATTTTGAATTTCCTAAATTATCTAAAAAACCTTTTGCAAGAATTTTTTGTTTATTTTAAACTAATGAATTTTGACCTGATATAACTAAACTAAGAACGGATTTGTGATCTACGACCAACAATTTAGTTAAGCTGTGATATTTTCACCTCCCTACATTATAATGAAAAGACCCAGGATTGACACATCCCAAAAGCATTAGAAAACCAGCTTATACCATACCATAATTTAATATTTTTCACAATTTTAGTTTGTTTTATTCAATGTTTGTTCCATGGTGGCCAATTTAGGGTTTTTATTTGGCAACTAAACCTAAATTGCAATTATTTTTAAATAAAATGTTGTCATAAATAAATGTTGAAAAATATATTTACATTTTTCTTGCAATGTTAATGCTGTAACTTGACACTTTTTATTTCATTCTTTATATTTGCTTAAAACAGGTTCCAGCACTTGATAAGGCAAGACGCATTGTAGCAGCAAGAGCTCTTAAAACTTAAAAGTTTAAAGTTTAAAACCAACAAATAATTTTTTAAAAGTGCAAACCAATTATAGTGAAAAAAAACAATTTTCATAAAGAGTGAAATGTTAAGTGATAAGAAAGAGTTAAGTGACAAGTTTCAGCTTCTGGTCCTATAGGTATACCACATGTCATTGGACGCTTTTCACTAGACAAACAAAAGAGGTCAAACAAGAGGGGAAGTGGCCATCCGCAAAAAAATGATAAGTATCCTGAAGCATATGCATGGCCTAACACATAATTTGCAAAATTAAACACGACAGATACCTTTAAAACCCTAAGAAAGGCACACTGTTTAAACTCAATAAAAAAAAACAATAAACATCAGTAAGAATAGAAACATTAGAAAGACAATACTAACCAAATACCATAAAATAATAAAGAAAAAACACAAACAACAAAAAAACAAAACTTCCCAATCGAACTATCGCAGTGATACACCAAAGCTGTATAGGACAATAAATCTGTCAACAACAAATGCGTAAGGCATGAAACCCAGTAACTTAAAGAACGACCCCAATAAATAACGTTAATTTTAACCCAAACGAGACCAATAATAAACATTTGACACTTATAAATATAAACTAATAAATCATTAAAAACAAATTAGATTATAACAGAATAATTGCGCTTGTCATTTGTTTTACTAATAAATAAATGCAATACTTAATTTTGGATTTAAGAAAAAAAAGACAAAACAATTCTACCACAAAACGTGCTTGGGCAACACAATAACTATAAAAAATTGTTAGAAATTTTGAACTGCTGCGGCAATAAACAATTAAAAAAACATCAAAAGCTACAAGTTACATATATTGATGGTTTTTGGCCTCATGACTGAAGACACATATGCAGGAACAATCCTACTTGGACACGAACAATAACGACAAAAGCGTAGACCAAGACGTAGGCTCCTGCAGCAAAATAACAACTCCCGAACTCCATACAGTAATCCCAAATGTTTGGAGTAATACTAACTGCCTGGTCTAGGGGGTACCGCGTCGTACTTAGATTTGAGTCGGCGTAATTGTCCCCCAAACACCAAAATATCTATCCCTCCCGTTCTACCTCCTTCATGACCCTACTGGGCGTATAGCATCGGCTCGGAGAACCCGGGAATGGCTACTGAAACTATTGGCATTTCGCTCTCGAGCCCTAATGGACATTCGCAACCAGCAAACACGGGTGAAGCCGCGCCGTTGCTGGTGGCGAAAGAAAATAGGCGCAAGGAAACAGAGGCCTATGCGGGGCCCGGGAGCGATGAGGCAATGGGGTCGGTTACGATACGTCTCTTAAGATTGTACTCATACTACTTACATATTTGCTTAAAACTGGTTATTTTATTTTATTGAAACATTTGACTTATAAATGGCTTTAAAACAAGATATTTTATTTGAAAACCCAATATTTAACCTAAAAACTAAAATTACATTTTTCTTAGCAGTTTTTTCATATTTTATTGAGTAGTTATTAAATATTATTTACTTTAAAACAATATATTTTACTTGATTGAAAAACCAAATAAAATAGTTTTTTTTTCTAATCTAATAATATTTTCTGGAAATGTTAATAATGTGATAGTGGTGATCTTCAAATTATTCGACAATTTAATCTAAAAATCGAATAATTTTATAGAAATTTGGATGAATTTCATAAGAGAATAATGTTTAAATTTAAAATATCATTTACTGGGTGGTGCGCCTAGTGAACCAAAATTCGTCCTACTGAAAAACATACCTTGTTTTCTTGTACCATGCTTAAAACGTTTGAAAATATTTTATTTAAATTGCTCCTCACCCTGTACTTCCACGCGTGTAGGTACATAACCAGATCCTGCGGCTTCGGGTCCCTGTAGCGCACCTTGCACTCGTAACAGTGCTTGTCGACCGTCATCTTGTCCGGATTGAAGCTGAAATCGGGCGCCTCGTGGCCCGTCTGCGTCGCGACGGTCACCTTGGCGTCCATGGCGGCGGTCCTTCGACGGCCGGTCATCGACGCCGCGGCGATCGCCAGCGGGTTCGGACTGAGCGACGGCTCGCAGGGCGGCAAAGAGGCGGCGGACGCGTCGCACGACTCATCGCACGGCGACGATTCCCGCGACACCGGATCCGCGTCTTCGTCTAAAAAGTTCAATAGCTCGTCACAGGGTGGGCAACAACTTTTAGGTTAATGTGGGTGCGCTAATTCCAAAAATAACTGTTTTTTTTGCTCATTTAGCTCTTGTTGTTTACGATATTGTAAAAAACAAATCGCTAGTTTGGTGCAGGACTATCCTAAGTCCATTTTTAAAGAATTGGAGAAAAATACTAATAAACATTTCTATGTATTGTAACTCAATTGTTTTTTGCGTCAATCTTGTAAAATATTCAAATTTTTAAAAGAATGACGCAAAAAAACAATTTAGTTACAATAAATAAAAATGTGCGTTTCTCTTCAATTCTTTGAAAATGGACAAGATAGTCTTGCACCAAACCAGCGAAATGTTTGTATATATAATATGTGAAATCAGTACTACTTGACGCATCGTAGAGTAAGGACGTGCACGGGATTGCTTCTTAAGAGTAAAGCGCACACAGCGTATTTAAGTTTGTTAGGCAATTTAAGTGTAAACTATACGAAATCAGAGCCTAAGGCCAATAACCACAGATATTCCTAGAATATTCCCCGCATAAACTTTTTTTAACATAGGAATATGCTTTAAAGATTCTCAGAATATATACATCAATTTTGGAATATTTTTAGAGTCCAATGGGTATTCCTTTGTGAATGTTCCAAGAACTTTCGGAGTATTCCAGGAATATTTATAGAACATATAACTATTAGTCACCAGGAACATTCCCTTGAATGTTTTTAGCAGTTCTGAATATTTTTAGAATATTCTTGGAATATAATCCAACGTGTCATAGAAATATTCGTAAACGAATGTTTTTTGGTTATTTCTGGTATATTTCGGATATGGTTGTGATATAATATATTATGTAGCATGAATTAAAAGTAGCATATATTATAAAAACATAAATAAATTATTATAAGGAATATAAAATAAAATAAAATTTATTGTTATACAAAATTATGAAATTATGAGAATGTTTTTGTGTTCCTTTATTATAACTTATTATTTTTAGTATGGTTTAATTGATTCCAGTACGACTTGAGTCATCATAAGGTAAAGACGCGCACGCGATCACTTTAACTTTATTAGGGAGTTTTAAGTGTATACTACCTGTGCAGGTAAAATCACGGTACCTGTCTCCCAAAGTCTTACAGAATCAGCAAAACGCTAATACAGTAGTGCTCTCATTTACCAAAAACAAATTTAAAGGGTTCTGATACTAGAGGAATATATATTAGGGTGTTTCATTTGAAACAAAGTATTGTTTTTCCTTGCGGACACCATGGAATATTGTTCTGTACACTGAAAAAAACTTCCCTGAAAATTTGAGCCCTTAATTTTAACTCTATGTACTTCCTTTTGTATTTTGAATTTTCCCCATTTAAAATATACATAAACATGTATTTCAAATCCAGTTTTTTTTAATTTCTATAGCTTAGCCGGGTTTCAAGCTACCGCGTTAATATACATTGGTATTTATAGTGTATTTGACGATCTTTGAAAGACTCTGTGACCACTTTATTATAACTTAAATTATATTAATTATATTATGTCTTTCATTTTTTCGACTTTTTTCGCATATTTTTGAAAATATTGAGAGAATGGCTCATCTGGCTGAAAAAATGTAAATACAAAAGTTGTAGGAAATTTATTTCGCTAAAATGCATAGTTTCAAAGATATGAGCAGTTAAATATTTAAAAATCGAAAAATTAGTTTTTTATCAAGCTTATATCATCTTAAATTTAATTTTATGCTAATAAATTTTTTTTTCTATATTGTATTTTGTATTTTTTAATTATTCAATCTTATTTTACTTCATTATAAGAAAAAATTTTATAAATAAAGATAAATAATTATTTTTAGTAGATTACTTTTATATATTTGTATAAAATACAAGGCCTAATATATATATATATATATGACATATATGTCAGTTTTTAAGAGTAACATGGTACTATTACTATAATTTTAATTTTATTTTAATGTTTTTTTCATGGATAACTTGACGGAATAAATTTTTGTTGTTATTATTGTGCATTTTTCTACTTTAAATATTTTAATAAAATTTAGTGTAGGCTCGTTTTGAGGGTTGGTGAATCCAGTGCCTTGCTTAGATTTTGTTTAATAAAAATCGCTAATATAAATTCTTAAAAATTTAAACTTAAACTTAAAAACTGACATAGTAGGCCTTGTATTTTGTACAAATATGGCGTTTTTTGCTCCAAAAATACAGTTTATCAAGATCTACGAGTCAATCCAAATGAAAACACCAAAAATGAATTTAAAAGTGCGCTGCATGATTTTTTATTGTAATGAAAAAATTTGAGGATGATCTTTTAGGTGTCAAATATGAAAATCCGTTGCCGTTTTAATTTTTTGTTGCTTTACTTTTATTTGGCACCCCTTAGAAGTCTGAAATAGTGTCAATTTCTTACTCTCTTATAGTGGGCCAGAACTTTTTTCTGTGACAAATATTGAAATAATTTTAATTTTGTTTTACTGTCCAGTAAGTGTGTTTTCGATATAAATTATTATTATCCAATTAGTTAATCTCATAAAAGAATGGTAAACCACTAAAGATTCATGATAATTTGCCAATTTTTGTGATTTTTGTCTTAAAATAATAGTTACGTTTTCTATTGTATAAGTACTTTATACCTCAAAAAAATGAACCTTCTAAATTCAATGGAATAGGCACAGGAGCCAGACAAATATCACAAAAATTGGCAAATTATCATGAATCTTTAGTGGTTTACCATTCTTTTATGAGATTAACTAATTGGATAATAATAATTTATATCGAAAACATACTTACTGGACAGTAAAACAAAATTAAAATTATTTCAATATTTGTCACAGAAAAAAAGTTCTGGCCCACTATAAGAGAGTAAGAAATTGACACTATTTCAGACTTCTAAGGGGTGCCAAATAAAAGTAAAGCAACAAAAAATTAAAACGGCAACGGATTTTCATATTTGACACCTAAAAGATCATCCTCAAATTTTTTCATCAAAATAAAAAATCACGCAGCGCACCCCATTTGGTGTTTTTATTTGGAATGACTCCTACAACTTCTGTAAGCACGCGCGATTGATTCAAGTGTCATTTTGACAATTTCTATTTAATTGTGTCAAAATTTCAATCGATAAAGGAAATAGACACAAAATTTTACTTAAATCGTTTAAAAAATGGTTCGCCTAACACTTTCAATTTCGATTGTTGAATTTTGTCTAGGAACGATTTTATTTGGTTAAAACATGATTTTTAAATAAATGTAAATATTTTATTTTTTTTTGTTTAAATTAGGACTCATATCTACATTACCAAATGTATGTGCATATCCACAAAAATAGTAGATTATGCCATTAGAAGGAGAAGTAAGTCTTTTGGTGCTCAAAAGATTGCAGTTGAGGGAAGCACAAAAAACCTCCTCCGAATAATTAACACTATTAGTGTACTAGGAATATAAAATTAATATTTTACCAATACAATAATGAATAACCCCACAGGGCTGCGTTTTTTTACAATATCGCAGAAACAAGAGCTGATTAAGCAAAGTAATGGTCATTTTTTGCATCAGCGCACACAAGTTACCTTAGAAAAGTTGTCGGTATGTAAGTAGTGGAAAGGACTCTACACTCGAGTTCAGTAGTTTAACTTAAATTAAGGTTCACTTCCTTAGCAACACTTGTTATAACAATAATTTGGGCAAAGTTTAAATGTAATTGAAAGCTGAACTTAAATTGTACAACTAGTTAAGTACAAAGGCTACTAAGTAAGAGGTCTACTAAACAAAAACTTTTTATAGTCAATAAAAGTAAAATATTATTTGGCTAATTAGCAGATAGCCTAGGCAGAGAAAGTCTCTTTAGCATTAAAGCAAGAAGAACAAACATGTTTTCTTGGACAACAACATTCTCTAATAAAAGTTGGTTTCGTAATTATTATTAATAATAGTATTACTGAAGCTAAAATTAAAATGAGCATATTTGTAATAAATACGCAAAACAGTGCAAAAAACCTTGTTATATAAGTTAAAATGGGTGTCGGGATAAATTGTGTGCGTACCTTTAGGCACAAGGGTCCCGACCAGCGAATCGTCGAGGTCAGCTTTCCTGGGATTAAACATGGACAGTTCGCTGTCGCCGTCCATTCCCAGCCAATTTTCGGCATTGTGTATGTGAATCAGATCCCTGACCAGTTCTTCGTCGGTCTTGCCGCCCAGATCGCCGCCTTTGCCTTTCAATGGACCGAACACGTCGTGATTGTACAAAGGATCGTTCACTACGGGATAACCTAAAAAGATAATGCAACGATTAAAATTGTTAGATGCTTTTCTGGAAATGTAATAAAGGGAGTCCCGCGGCAAATTTCGTTTTTAAATTAGTAATAAATCGAAATAAGACAAGTGGGGCATTTAAAAGTGCCATATGTCCTCATCTTTTAGAACATCAGTTGGCGTGGATCGATTCACGGGTGAAGATAGCGTTCTTTGATGAAAGCAAAAACAACAATTTTTTGATAGCCGCGCGGAGATTTTTTTGGCTCATCATGGCTTATAAGTTACGACACATTAATCGTGCTTTATCAATGAAATTAATTAAAAGATTTGAGGAGACGGGTAACACAACTTGCAAGAGGCCTGTCGATTCAGAAAATATTAGAAAGGGTGACCCGCGGCAAGTAAAATAAAACAACAGTATATTTTAATAAATGTAGCACAGCTGAATGTTTAGAAATCGAACAGCCTCTTGCACTCGCCTAGAGTTTTCAGGTGTTCTGATGGTCTAACGCGGACCTGTTCACCTATCTTAAACTTAACTACATTAGTTACAATGTAAACCCGGTGTGAAAGATTAAGAAATACTGTTAATAGTTATTTATGTCATTAAGCTGAGAAGTAAGTCTTATTGTTTTAAGCTCAAAAGTTTACAATTGTTATTATTATAACATATTTTATCTTTGGTATTATTTTATTTCTTAAACGATAAATGAAACGTTCAATTAAACTGATAATTACTAAAACAAAAAGGGTAGATCTGACAGTAGTCAAATTTTTTGATTGGCCCAAACGGGTTTGGTACAGACTAGGAGGTAAAAAGCTTAACCCGAATGCTCTAAATTATTCTTCTTCCCACACTATGAATTTACCGTCTACATAGTAGCAAAAACTTAGGTGTTTCTACGACTAGCCTTCCAAATAGCTAGGCAGTATTTTTTTACTTTTTCTAATAGAGAGCGCTGCAATAGTATATTAAATTAAAATTAAATAAAAAAGATTGTTACAGTTTTAATTAACTTTTTTACTTCAAACAAAAGCTGAATTCTTTCTGTAAAATAATCGGCTTGATGAAATCTAATATAATAAGTTAATTATAAATTAATTTTAATATTTAATTACTATCAGATATAGATTTCTGCAAAAAGTTAATCTAACACACAGTACGTATCGGAGCGGGCTGTTTTTTAAATGTTGACAAATGTCAATAAAAATGTATGGTATAAAAATATAAGTTTAAGTAATTGATAAGGTTACTATAGAGGGTAAGAGAGTGTCATAATTTTTAATATTATTGACAAGATAATTATTCAGAAGTTTCCAGGCTCGCTCAAGCTATATTTCTTCCTTCAGCCTGGAAAAGTGTTACTTTACAACCTAGGTTCACAATATACTATTTACAGCATAAGCGATAATAACTATTTTATCACTACTATTTTCTTCTTTATTCATTAAAATATGCTTGGAGGCAGTCCTTTTCAGAAATGAAATGTCAATTTTAATTTTTTAAATACATTTTTTTTTCAGAACTTTCTTATCAAAACTAAATATAAAATTAATATTAAAATAAAAATTAAACCTTGTTTTGTAAACATTTTTATTTGTTGGTGAAATAATTCGTTCTTACCTAAATATTGTAAATGTACCCTAATCTGATGCATTCTTCCAGTTTTGGGTTTGCACAAAACGATGCTTGTTTTCCCATTGAAACCTAATTTTTGAAAAATTGTGTTGCAATCTTTACCTTTGGGTGACACTTTGCAAACGCCAATTTTGTAACTAACTACTTCGATTGGCTCTTTGCACTCGATAATTTCACTAAAAAAATAATAATAAACGTTTTTGCAAATAACAAAAAAAATCTGCATTACTCTGGAAATTCTCCTTCCACCCTACAAACGTATTCCTTCATCACTAGCCTATTTCTAATCTGGTGTTCCATTTGCCTGGCCTTCTTGGGCGACCTGCCGAAAAGCAGCAGTCCGCTGGTCAGTCTATCTAGCCTATGTATTGTCCTTAAATTTTTTAAATTGTATTCTTTGGCAAGGATAAACACAACGGTGTTGTGCCTGTATCGTCCGCAAGGATGAACCTGAAATACCGGAAAAAAGAGGGTAAACAAAACAGGGATTGGTTTTCATTATGAAGGGATTTTGTACAAATTGTTAAAAATGATTTAAAGTATAACGCAAATACACTTTCGAACCTAAATAAACAAAAATTGTTAAGGTTTCTTCTTAAATTTCGCGTTCAACTTAATCAAAGTCCACTTTCCAGTCTACATACATTTCAAACACCATGTCACAATGTTGTTTAAACTAAATAGTATATTTTCTATTTTTGACTTTTTTTGTAATTATTTTCAATATCACAGTGCTTTTCTAAGAGGTCATTTTTATACTTCCTATTAAAGAATTTTTTTAGTAGGTATATTTCATTTAATTTTGATACTCTTCAAGGTTTTCTTTGTAAAAAGGATTTAAAGTAGTATAGATTATAGATCTGGGTATGTAGGGGACAAATATTTATATTGTATGGCGATGAGAAGGTAATACTCGATGTCTGTTCATTAATAAACATAGTTCTAATAATTAGTAATGTTTTGTTAAAAATGTAAATAAATTATTATTCATAAGAAATGTTGTAAACTGGAAAAAAGACAAATAATAAGATAAAATCATCCACAATGGAAATAAAATGTACAGGGTATTTTTACTCAAAACTGACGTAATGGAGGTACTAGATCTCATCGAGACTAACACTTTTTTAAATAAATATTTTTTAATAAAGCTTTTGTTTTCGAATTATCTACTTTTGGTTTTTTCATAAACCTTTTTATCTCCGTTATCCATGTCCGGACCAAAAAATTTAAAGTTTTTTGGAGTGTTTAGTTTTATATCTACAATTTTTGTGCTAAACACATTTGGCTATAAACAACTAAGATTAAGGTTAATTTAAAACATAAACCTCTGTATCTTTCTTATTTATGGCCGGAATTAAAAATTGTTAATACTTTTTCTATAAGTAACGAAGATAAAAAAAGTGTTAGTCTCGATGAGATCTACAACCTTTATTACGTTGTCCATTTTGAGTAGAAACACCCCTGTATATAGGATTAACTAACTTAAACAAAATTTTAATTGGCAGATTTTTAGTCAAAGAGTGTATTCCATCCTTGATGTTAATCTACCGGTTAGTCTTTAGTTTGCATGGATTAGTGGTCTATTGTCCTGTTTCTATAATTAGAATAAAAGCCTAAAAACTTTTCTAATTAAAATGATAGTCTCTTAGAAGTCTTTGAGAGAGGTAAGTAATAGTTAGTCACAAGACATGCTGATGTTTAATCAAATATTATATCTAGGTAGATGTTAAGAAAACACTCGTATAATTAATTATGCCCTGTTTTAGTAAAGAGAAATATTCTGTGAGCAGAAATTTTAATAAAAAAATGGATGCATTAGTATTTCTTTTACATATAATATGCAATTATAAAATTAAGGAAAAAATATTTATAAGTTTAAATATTTTTGAAGACAATTTAATTTCCTACAAAAATGTATTGTTAGTACTAAACATTCTACCATAAAACACAAAAGATCTGATTTAATTGATCTTTGTAAAACGTTGCTACTTCACTGGACAAAACATTGTTTTTCTACCGAAAAAAAAAATTAATTCTACATTTTTTCGCCGATGAAATAAATTACTCACCGGTAAAGAACAAGGCTTGTCCAGAACCACAAGTTCTTCGTCAACGTGTATAATCTGGATCGGATTTGATAATACAGGTGTTTCGTGTCTGTATATAAATAAAATTATTGCAGATAATTTTGGTTTGCAATTAACTCTGACACGATACAAATGAAATTTCGTTTTCATTTTATGTTATATTTAATTTACCATCACTAGACTCTACTACATTGTGGTTTTAGAGGAAAGAACACATGTTAGTGACATACATTAGTTAGTTTTCCTTTGTTTTTTTTCTGGGTTTAACAATTACATTTATCTATCTATCTTTTTATGGACAATAATCATATATGAATAGTTTCTAGTCTCTCTTTATCATATTATTTTCTGGTAATACATACAAAATATAATAAATTATGTATGTTGGCTTTAGTTAATGCAGATAACTAAATAATTTAATAACTTAATCGCAGAGTAATTAATATAATAGGTACATCAAATTATATTTTTTAAATATAAAAAAGCTATAACATTATACCATATATTTTCTTCAAACTAAATAAAATAAACTTAACAAATTATTGAATACGTAGAATTAGAATTTGTCCAAATGTTACCTACGTAAAGCTTTTTAATCCGGAATGGAGGTAATGGCTATAAAAGTCCTTTGTCCTTAGTACATCGTAATTGGCGGTCGTTCGTTAGTTTAGAAAAAGTAATTAAGCACTCTTTAGACCGGATATTTATTTGTGAATTCCACTTTCTGTTTGTCACTGTCGCGTCCCTGCTTTTCATTTGGTCGAAGGATTTTGCACTATCAAACAACTCACATTGACAAAATAGAATTGAGAAATAAACGAAAATTTATATTATAAGACATACAATTTTTATGCATCTTTACAAAGGAAATCTATTTGGATATAAACATAAAATGTATTTTTACCATTTTTCCAAATATCACATTTTTATAATTATTCTTCTCGAATTGTAATGTAAAAAATTGTAGGAATAATAAATTTAAACCAGTCTTGCAAAATCTATCTTTAATCAATTTTATGCATTTTTCATGCTTTATCAAAATTCCAAAAGTTTGATTTTAGAAAAGAAATTTGCTAAATACCTGCAACTTGTTATTAATTCAAGCTGGAAAGTTTTACTTGGAGGATTGTTGGCAAATCGCTGAGCTTATGTAAAGCGGTAGGATAATTCACGTGTTTAATTAAATATTAAACGAGTTAGCGGTTTCACAATGCCGTTAATGTATCATCAAAATGTAGCAATAATTCATCATTTTGCAATTTAAAATAATTTTGAGTGCTTTGCAGTGCAACTTAATTAAACTAAATTATTTAATTCACAACCAATTTTATCAATTTGGGTTTTTAACCTAAATATAAAGTTCTCTTTGTTGGAGTTTAGTTTTAATAAACGTATACGTCCCATAATTAAAGTACAATACATTAACAGCAGATTCTCCGAACAAAAATAAGAAAAAAATTCTTATATACATAGGTTGAGAAATGCTTCACAAGGGAGCTACAGCCCCTGAAGATGGTTTTTATTTAATATCTACAAAACCGTTTAAGATAAAAATGTGAAATTTTGGGAATTGATTCAAATTTTTATGGAAAATATGTTGTAATAATAAAATGATTTTAAAAAATAAATAAATAAATTCTGACATCTATCTGACAGTTGTAACCTCACTTTCTAAAGATCATCGTAGTCGCTTTATTTTGACGATTGTATGACTATTGACAACTTAAGCCATTAGTAGTTTTTCGTTTCTTGATTAACTTGATTAAAACTTTTATAGGTAATTCATTTTGTGACTTTCATAAAAATATTTTAAGCATTTTAAAGCACTCTCATAGCTTAATAACATAGTTTATGTTCCACTAAAATATACGAGGTGGGTCAGATAGATAGGGAGTAAGGGTAAAACCACCAACTTTTTTGTACGTGTCTTGTCCCAGGATTTCATGTCAGATTATTTTATTTTCGAGGTTTACACACAAAAAGGTCCTCTTGTTGAATTCGATAATATTTACCATTTTCGCTTAAAATCGATTTAAAAATTACCTTACACGGCATAAAAATTCATAACGGCTGCTATGTTTAGGAAAAAGTATTCAAGGCAGGTGACATTTTATTATTATTTTTCTTCTTTAAACTGTTTTGGAGATATAAAATAAAAACCATCATCAGTGGCTTCTCTTTCGGGGGCTATATCTACCTTAAGAAGCATTTCTCGACCTATGTTTAAAGGAACTTTTTTCATATTTTTGTACGTAGAATCTGCTGTTAAAGTATTGCACGCTAACTATGGGAATACAATCTGTTTGTAAAATCTGACAACACTAAATATTTGAAACAGATCAAATACATCAACAAACATTTTTAACCGAAACCAAATTATATATTTTCCAAGGATTTTGGCGCTCTGCATCCGATTTGAACCTCAACAACTGATCAGGTTTTTAAAAAAATGCTTACCCAAAAGTTGATGTTATTTTACATCACAAGGTATTTTTTCTCCAAAAAACGTTACGTCATCTGAAAGTACCTACCACTGTTTTCAAATTTTTTTTTTTCGATATTTTTATTTATTATCATAAATTTCAGCGATTTTTCAAAAAGAAGATTTTGACACTTGAATAGTTTTGAGTACAAAAATATTTTGTAATGTAAAAAACCGCGTTTTTATGACTCTAGCGCTATAATTTCACCCAAACCTGAAGAGATGGTCTGAGGTCAAATGTGGACCTGACATATTACCAATCAAGTTGAGTCACACATATAAATTGTTAGGTGTTTAGTACAAATCCATGCAAACTAGCAAAACCAAGTGTGGTGCACAAGTAAAATTGACAACAAGGTTAAACAATTGTCGATTGTATGGTAAGAATAGTAATAATGGCGGTCCTTTGGCCACTTACTGGGATAGAGGCGGGTTTGTTGACCACGACAATGTCCTCGTCCATATGCACAATGGTGATCGGTTGGCTAGTGACGGGCACTTCGTGTCTGCAACATTTTACAGTATAGCAACAACAATAACATTTGTTGTTATAAAAAACAACTTATCAACATCTATACTAAAATATTTTAATTTATTAAACAGAGGATATTAAACTAAATAAATACATTTAAACCACATCCAAATAACAAAACAATCCTATGGGTTATTAAAAAAATATGCATATTTTTGTGCCTCAGTGCCATCCTTCCCTAACCCTCAATTCAATATTTATAAAATTATAATTATATTAACTATGTTTTGATTACCAAAGTTGCTCATAGATGTCAGAATCGTATGATACGTATAGGTTAACATAGGAGGGCTGGGCAACATTGGCACCGACAGATTAAGGCAAGGATGACACTAAGCCACCCATTTGTAAGGTTATTTAAAATAGTTTGGTTTAACTCAATTAATTTTTGTTTTATTCAATTTAAAAACATATTACTCCTATTGAAAAACCCAGAAACACCTGGTTACATATTTTATAATTTAATTATGACCCAATTTATAAGTTAGTGGATGTGGCTTTCACCAAAAACTACTACACGAAAAAATGGAGGCTAGGACTCGACAACAAACATGTTTTATTATTAGGTTTAGTTACAAATTGACAGAACCACTACACAGAAAACAAGTGGCTACTTCGTTAACTTTATTTAATAATTTTACTAGCAATCGTACCCAACTAAATTACGTTAAAGTGGTTTGAAACAATTGGAGTAACAACGTGAGCGCACGGTTTAGTTAATAAATGGAGGTTTAATTTAACTTAACTTGGTGCCGGAGTAATTACTAGCTAGGATAAAGTAAATATACCTAAGGTTAAGCACGTTCGAGATTACATATATAGGTTATGTTATTTTAAAACGTATTTGTTTTTATTCGTAGGTTTACATCAAAATAAAACATGTTTTGATATCGTTCATACGTATCGTATAGTAGATACTTTGAAAAATAAAAATAAACAAAAAACATATTAGTTTATTGTACGATTACTTTTGTAACGTGTTGTGTCTAGTAATTTATAAAATAAATTATGCAGAAACGATTCTTAAGAGTTTTCAAATTTCTAGCCCATCATTTTTTTTCTGATGAAATTTATTTATTAGGACCAATAGCTACATTACCAAATCAATGGCGTCGCCAGCCAATTGGTCAGTGGGGCAAGAAGATAGATAGACGTCCGATGCCGAAAGTGGTTAAAGGAGCACCGATACAAACAATTAATTAAAATTAATTTTCTCAGTGTCAAGCCAATTTTTTTTTAATAATGCATTAGGTATAGTTTTTGGGTATTAATTCAGAACACATAAAATACATGCTAGGTATAATATATATTATATTAAATTGTTTTATTTTTTAAATGAAATTATAGCTTCTAAGTGACAGAAAATTACTCTTAATTATTTGTATCAGTCACGTGGAGTGATTTTTTTCTTATGAATGGGTCAAGAAAGTTTCTTAAAGAAACTAAGAAAAACCTTAATGTTTAGACGGTGTGGATAACGTGATGTTCTTACATCTCGCCTCTGTTGGCTTACCAACCCTATATAAGCTCAGGGAGTCCTTTGTTTTGGGTGTGTTCCACTACACCAAGTTGCCCGGCCAAAACAGCTGTCTGTCGGTATTTGAAGTTGGTGGGACGCACTCAAAACAAAAAACTTTAGCGAGGTGTAGGTTCAATTTTTTCTTATGATTTATTTTTCGATTGTTTCGTCCAATTTTACGTCTCTTACGATGAGAAATTATCGGTTTTAACTTATTAAATGAAATAAATTTTAATATTTATTTACAATTTAACCCTTGACTACTCGCGCCAATTTTTGTAACAAGTGGTCGCGCGGTGCACTGAGTGCTCCGCTCCTTAAAATGGATATATTGCTGAATGTTTTCAATTTTAATATTACTTTTGGCTATATTCGGATGAATAAACTCTATTTCTATTAAAACACAATATTTATTAAAAAAAAAAAATAAAAAGCAAATAACAAAAAAGTTATTACTTCTACTCAGAAAAGAAGAAATCAGAAGGAAATTTAGCCGTTCTTTTTTTATTTGTGTATTCTTATAAAACCATTATGTTTTAAATTCCATATTTTGTTGATTTAGAAATATTTTACATTACAAAAATTGAAATTTAGTTACGTTTTAGTGAAGTATTTCTAAATCAATCTCAAGGTTTCTGTCCATAACTTTGAAATCAATAGTTAACTGAATATGCAGTCGACAGTGCATGGTAGACACATCAGTCATAGGTTACATGGAGAGGGCATTTAATTCCAAGAAAACGACAAAAAGTTATAGAGGTTTTAATAAAAACGGAGCACTCAGTGCACCTGCGCGACTAGTTAAGGGTTAAAATCGATCCGTCAGATTTTTTTTTTAGTAATTTTGTCTGAAATTTATTTTATAAAAACGTAAATTATTCCCCTTAACTTTAACTGCTAAAAATTATAAATCGGACAATAATTCACCTGGCATTCAGTAACATTTTTTAGGGGTGGCTTATGCTCCTACATTGGTGACGCCCTTATTACCAATGCTTTTTGTTTAAAGTATTTGATTTAGCAGAAAACTCGTTGAAAAAAAATATGGACTAAAAATTTGATAGTTCTGTATGCGGCCATTAGGGCCATTATTGTTTAATTTTTAAATAGGGTCGGTTTTTCAATATCTGGTTTAGTTTCACATAGTTTATCTGACAGTTAGTTTCTATAGATATTATTGTCAAAACAATGGTAAATATGAAAGTTATCTGCAAGATAAACCGGTCCTTAGACAGAAAAAATGTTACAACTTAACCAATGCTTGCATTTAAAATCTTATCAAAACAAAAATCTTACCTGTGCACGATATTGGCCAGAAGATCATTGTGCTTGAGTTTGTAGTCGGTGGGAACTTTTTCGTAGTTGACCGTGAGCGTTCCTGCCTGAATGCAGCGCTCGTACTCCTCCGCGGGGTGAGCTCGAAACTCTCTGGCGAACACGTCCAGTATCCTTTCGCCCACCCATCGTCCCTTGGTAAAGGTTGTAAAGGTGAAGTAGTATGGATACACTTTACGCAAACCTGAAAGAAAGAATAGAAAAACCTGTTCATATTTGCATCTTAAAATTAGTAAGTTTTATTAAAAGTCCCTCCAACGCGCGACACAGTAGCTAAGCAAATAGCCTGCATCGCTAATGAGATTTTTTGCATTATTATCATTTAATTTTTTAAGTCCTTACCTGCTCGACCTTTCGTCATGTCGTTTATCACACAAGCTACTGTGACGGGCCTTGGAGGGAGGCGAGGCCACGCCCCATATATATATATAGATATATTCGGTTTTACTCTGAACAAGCTGTATGTCTCAACAATATAAATAATACAAAAAAATCAAAGTAATCAATATGAATATACTCAATTATATTATCATATTGCTAAGATTATTTACCTACATAAATAATAGGCTCGGACGGTGTAGAAAAGCAAATACAAATTGAAATAATTATAAATGTACAACACAACAATAATGTGAAACATAAAGTGTAATATAACTTAGGTCACAAGCAACAATAATAAATGGTATTTGTATAAATAAAATATATAAATAACAAGTGGTATAGTAGTGAACAACGGTAATGCAATTTAATTGTACAGTCATAAATAACAAATACAATCAGGTATAATCAAACAATAAAAACATGTCAGTGCAAATCAAATACACCAAAATAAAATGATTATCAATAATAATAAAATAAGACCATAAAACAACAACTTCATATCAATATCCCTAGCTAACCATTCTTTGTCAATCTAAATTGGTTAACTGGCAATTATTGGCAATTGGGTGCGCCTGTCAAAGTAAAGCTGTATCCACCAACCTCACCAGAAACCGTCAACAAAGTTCCCTAACTAAATAACTCATTTGATATGCAGAACTTGAAACAAAGTCTCACCATATTAAATAATAAATATCAATTTATCAAATAAATAAAATAAGATAAACTGTAAAAAATAAAGTATGTAAATGTTAAGTATAAATATGTAGTAAAATGTAAAATTACATTACAATATAATATGTTAAAGTAAATGCAATATAAATATAATAATTATAAACATAAAATAATGATTAAAATAAATTTGTAATTTGGTTGTCCAACCACAACCATTAAGATAAAGCAATTCAGCTTATTTCTTGTTTCACAAAGAACAAGCTGAAATAATAATAAAATATAGTTTAAATTAAATATTAAATAATTAACCACTCATTATGATATTTTTGACCTTAGATTATAATAACTAAATATAGAAAAGACATACCTATTTAAATAAACTACACTTTTACAAAAACTGAATTTATATAAAATCAATGTATTATTGGTTAAATGCACTCTTTTATAAAATTAAATAATTCAACTCGTCCCTTCAAATAGTAAAACGTAACTGTCTAAAATATAGTGTATTCTCTAAGTTTTTAACACGCTCTTTTTATGTTTATTTTATCAAACCCAAACAGGCCTATCGATATAGTTCATTTGGAACGTAAGAACCTAGTGCATCAAGTCTACAATTAGCGCTCTTTAAGTTATTTACAAATATAGTTATTACAAAGTCAATCGGACTATACTGTATAGTCTATACACTATTTTTATCACGTGTTGAAACCCTTAAATGTCTAGGTTAAATATTGCCCTAATAAATTACATACTCTAAACAAAATGCGTATAAATATTAAGTTACTAATAAACAGTTTTTACAATTTTAAGGTAAATATTTAGAACTAGTCTAATATTTCTTAGAGTATTAAAATAATAAATTAAGAAATGTTAAAAATTAACTGCCCCATATATCGTCCCATTAGATCTTTTAAGTTAAAACTTTATAATATCCCAGTAAATAGGCATTTTACGAATACATGTTTAAAAAAAATAAATTATTCGAGTGGAAATAAATTGGTACCAAAATTATTCCCCATACTCTTATCCTTATAGGATAAATAGGGTAAATTTCCAATGGAACACCCTATTTTTTTGCAGATTCGAATCATTCGACTAAAAATGGATACTTTGTTAAAAACAGTTTTTCATATTTGTAAAAGATGGCGCTGTTATAAAAAAATAAATTTTGTTCGATTTTTCTCGGATTTTAAATGAGTCTACACAAGTAAGTAATTTCGGCACAAGCATATTTTCACGGGTTGTTGGTACTTATTGATACACACGTTCTTTAAGATAGCCCCACAAAAAGAAATCCGGCGAAGTAATATCAGGTGATCTAGCAGGCCAACTTTATTTTCCAAAATATATCGGTACATTTCGCCATTTAAGTTCTCTTTAATGATGAGTTTGTTGCCAACCATTCCACACCACACGTTGACAGTCTAAGGACGCTGTTGTTTAACTTGCAGAAGCCAACGCAGATTTTCAACACTCCAGGAATGCATGTTGTGCCGATTTACCGTTCCGTGGTTCGTAAAAGACGACTAGTCGTCATGTAAAAAATTTGGATTTTGTTGTATTTATTCACGTGCCCACTGACAAAAAATTACCAGATTTTGAAAATCCAAACCATGAAGCTTCTGATGTAACGAAATATGGTAAGGGTAGTAATTATTTCGTTTTATTATTCTGATAACACTGCTCTGGGATATTCCGGAATCTCGAGATAATTCTCGTGTGCTTGCATGAGGATTAGCTGCTAATACATAAATTTTATTATTTTCACCGGTGACTGTTGCTCGACGAAATTTTTTTTTTGGTTGAACATTTCTGTTTGTAGTAAACTCCTTGAATGTACGTTGAAATGAAGCACGCAATCGATTTTTTTTCGGAAAATACTGAGCGTAGATATTAACAGCATCATCAAGATTTCTTCCTGCTTCTCCATAAATCAAAACCATTTCTATTTTTTCTTCCACTGTCAAAAAATCCATTAACTCCTCAACGAAAACAAATTAATCTTCGAAGTAAATAAACTTTTATATTAGTTGTTTCCAAAGGTTATTTTCTTGCACCCTAGGAAAAAAGTAGCCAATTGCGCCTTGGAGCCGGACTCTTTTTAGTTTCAACAACGTACTACAAATTTCACACCCCGCAAAATTCAGTAGGTATATTGAATTTAAAAATTGATAATCAGTCTATTGTAGAATCTTCTGGGTCCAACATTAGATAATTGCCTTAAGTGGAATAATCATTGTATAAATTTGATAGCCTTTGCTACCTATTAAAACATTTGCGAAGTGCAATATCCCAAGAAAATATATATAATAAATAATATATATAACGCATATATTGCATCTAGACTGCACTTTTGGGGGCTATCTACATCTGCAAAATGTGTTTTATAGCACAAAAAAGAGTTCTACGTTGCCGTCTACAAGTTGTAGAACTCTCTTCAGGGAAATACGAATAACAAAAATAAATTTTTAAAAAATAACCTAGTTCATAATTATAAAACCAGAAAATGTAACGAGTTTAAAATTCCATTTTCCAGATTAAATATAAGTATAAATGCACCCAATTCTTTAGGCCTCCGTGCATTCAATCATTTTCCTCAGGAAATAAGAAACTCCAACAATATTAACTCACTTAAATCAAGATTAAAAGCATATTTAATTAAAAGTAAGTTTTACAATTTAAGTGAGTTTTGGTTAAGTTAATTTTCTGTTTTTTTTTTAATTTAAAGTTCGTTGATATTTTTGTGTTAGTTTATATTTTCATACATCTATTTTATATATATTTACAACCGATTCCTATATTAATGTATTTAATCAAAGGAAAATAAAGATTATTATTATTATAACAAAAACTAACAAACAAAAACAAGAATAAAAAAAATTACACGAGTTTTAAATGTAAAACTGATTTATCTTTATGAGGCGCCATATGTTCCATAATTATGGATAATTATAATTATAATTATTTCATTTAATTTCATTAATTAATTTCATTAATTAATTTCATTTAATATATAAATTGTTTTGCAGAAAAAATAATATATAAGTAAAATTTACTACAATTTTGCTTATATATATTTAAAAATATAAGTTGATACGATTTAAAAAAAAATATATATATTGAATTTAGCACCATGCAAAGTTCGATATAAAATCTTTTTAGTTTGAAAAGTCCCCGAGCGTTGGCGCTGCCTGTTCATGATTTTTGTTTGTGTATGGTGTGTTGCATTAATAAAGTATTCGAATTAAAAAAATCATTATTTGCACACGTATTTTTTAGATAACAGCTGTTGATTTGTAAATTATACAGCTAAAATTACAGTGGTTTATCGATATTATTAATGATAGGTAGTTATTTAAATTAATTATACCTACACAAACAAAAATCATGAACAGGCAGCGCCATCGCTCGGGGACTTTTCAAACTAAAAAGATTTTATATCGAACTTTGCATGGTGCTAAATTCAATATATATTTTTTTGAATCGTATCAACTTATATGTATAAAACTTATATTTTTAAATATATATAAGCAAAATTGTAGTAAATTTTACATATATATTATTTTTTCTGCAAAACATTTTATATATCGAATAAAATAATTATGGAACATATGGCGCCTCATATATCTTGATTAAATAAAATAATGTATAAAACTTTAACTTTAGGAAACTTAAATATTAGTACAAAATTGTACTTTATATAAAAAATATCAGATTTAATTTAATAAGATAATCATTTCCCATGAAAAAGTGGTATATCACCTTTATATTGTTATTGAAAAACTATTGCAGAATGGCACACAGAGGAGAAATCGAACAAAATTAATTTTTTATTACAGCGCCATCTCTTTCAAGTATGAAAAAATGTTTTAGACTACCTATTTTTAGTCGAATGATCCGATCTGCATTAAAAAATAGGGGAATAATTTTTAAACTAATTAGGTATTACGAAGAAAATAATTACGATCTATGTTATGTTTAAGTTTCTATTTATATTTATATGGCATAACCAGATTCAATTTTTTATTTTTGTCCACAAAATTACTTTATTTTAACTGTGTTATCTTATAGAGATATCCTCTTTAAATTGGTATACCATTAATTTAATAATTTCCCTGTACAACATTC